GAGTGTCTAGATCAGGAGTCTCCCATATCGTTGATATCTCTGGATTAGGTGTTCAAGTGCTCTAGCTCATCTTCACGACTAACTGCGCATTTTTTCTTTGCAAAGGATGATCACGTCCCTTTTTGGGAGGGTGTTTTGTAACAATGATAAAACGCTTGTCAACTTGATTGCTGCACCATCGTGCTAGTGAAGATATAATCATTGGTAAGGAGGACTTTGTGGCTGCCGGAACAAGACACGGGAATAGGAACGTTCCGCCCACCTAAAATAGGTGGACTTGTGATAAATTTCAAGAAGGGTAAATATTCCCGTGTCTTAACTCTAGCATAAAACTAATGTGTAACCCTCATCTTAACCCGGCGCCTACTCTAAACCCAAACCCTACAGGACACCAGGCATATTATACCACAGGAAACCTCAAGGGGTCCTCGTTAGTTGAAGTGGGATACATTCTTCGAAACTCGCGTTCATCTTGCTTACACGCCTGATTCTGTTTGATTATGAACGCTGTTGATTGGATCAATTAAATATAAGTTGGTGATAGCGGCTGCGGTCCAAAACGTAAATTGAGAATGCTTGGAGGTCTTGGTTGTTATTCCAAAGTTTCCATGCTGACAAGTATGTGTATGGGATATTGTTATACGCTCCTGACTGAATTTTCCTGACCTCTATTCTTCCAGCGATGCATTAAATCTTTGTTCCAGACTGACTTCTGTAATTCTTGTTTGGCCTCTTTTTGTCACTCTAACTCCCTTGTTGCTCGTCGTCTCCAGATGCAAATGCTGAGAATGTGTGTACCTCGGAGTCCACGCTTCGCGAGCAAAAGGTGAAGGAGGTAGGTCAATGTGTATTTTATTTTACACACGTTTGCTCAAAATGTGTAACTTGTACGCACGCACGAAGAGAGTGGAATGTTCAAAGTTTGCTAATTGATCCCTTTCTCGCACTATTTTTTCAATCAAGAAAACTAATCAAGCACACAGACCGGTTGTTTCGATCTCTAAGCTTTCTTTTTCTCAAAGAGTTAATCAGTAGGGTAGACGACACTGCAAGAGCACTTTAACAACCAGTGTACCAGATCCGGAGATGCCCATGCAGGTGTCTGTGTGCTGACAATCGAGTGGGCTCCCAGCAGAGGTTCCAATTATAATCCACTCTCGACTTGAACCATTATCTTGACACCTTAAACGTTGAACGCCCGAGCCCTCTCGCATGTGAAGATACCCCTTTCGGTAATTAGTTCTGCCTCCGCTTAGCCAGCATTTGTTCACCTATGCGTGATCCATGCTTACATTCGCGTGGGGCCGTGTAATTGCAAGGACAGGATTTCCCACTCGGTCTTTTTTGTCGATGATCTAGCCACGCTAGTTAAATTTGGGTTAGTTTGCCGTTTCAACTTACCCTAGCAAAAACATGCTCGGTCAATTCTGAGGCATACTGAACGTGGAGCAGCGCATGCAATATCATCTGTGTATTTTTTTTACTACGGGAGTGAACGAGTAGGCCTTGATTTACAGAGACATTCAGAGGGAGTTACTCACTCACGGGCCTTGAGTTCCAGGTTGTTGTTGCAAGTCTCATCCCGTCTTAAGAGCTTTCTATGGGAGCCCTTGAATGTGCATCGTTAGTTGGTTCTTTTTAAAGTTCAGCAGTTCGATAGTGTTCGTCGTTTTATTTTAAACCGTTGTCTCGTGTTCGTTGTATGTTGTTCGCCTAACCAACTTATCAAGGAAGGGCAGCGTTTCTGCGTTGTGTTTTCTTTGAAGGATTGCCTTGAGCAGGTTAAACAAACGATAGGAAACATGCCTTCTACACAACGGCAATAAATGCAGCTCCCTATCTTCTGAAGGCAGCCCGTTTAGCTCCACAGCCCCAGTTTTTGTGAAGTGAACCAACAAATTGGAGTCCATTGGAGTTCCGTTGGTCTATTTATGCGATTTTCGATCACAAGGGAAATAACCTTTATCTCTGATACTCGATATATCTCTCTAAACTGTATTTCTTGTCGTCCTTTCCTATTTCCTTTAGCTTTCAGAGTGTTTGCGAGTAGAATTCGGTCCGAGTGGAGCAAAACTGCACACCTTGACGCCCGCGGAACTGAATGACTGCCTCCGACGGGTGGACGCTGCCTTCACTTCCTCTCTTACTAGCGATCACTCTTCGTCTGCGGATCCTTCGTCCAGGCAACAGAGCCGACCCTCTCTCAACGACTTCTCTCTCTGGTTGGCATCTTTTGACGAAACGCAGGATTTAAACGTGGAGCTACCTGGGTACTTTCTCAAACAT